CTGCTGGAAGAGAATCAAACTGAACCAGAGAAGATCTGGGAATTATGAAAGTCTGTTGTGGATGATCTCACGACTCCCGAGGTCTAGCTGTTCTTACGGAGACGCTGAAAAGTGGCTCGAAGTGGAACTTTACGCCGGAACTGACATATCTTCAGGAAGGTAAAAAGTCGATCTTCTACCAAAGTGTACCGTTGGGATAAGCTGGTCCAAAAGAGCGTGCTGTTCTGGTTAAAACAGACAAATTCCCTCACACATCTCTCTGTAGATAAACTTCATCTTTCCATCTTTAAAATTCTTCTATCTGCTAAAAATCATTAAAGATATCTTTAAAAATGTCTGAAGCAAAGTTTTTCAATCTCGCTCTGTGGTTAATAATCTGCTGTACTATTGGAAATGAGAACAATCGCCGCGTTGTTTACTTCCTGTAAGCTGATTAATAAGCTGTCGTTATTTTCAGTTCTTGCCAATTAATGTAAATGTGTGATGTGTTAAACTTTGATTCTGTTAATAAATGACCCACTTTCGTTGGTGAGTCAAAGATAATTAACGTTTCTGTCCACATTTTATTAATTCAGATGCACGTCATTATACAGTCCAGAAAAATGAAAGAATCCGTTTTAACAGTATGAATATATGACAGCATATGTTCATACTACAGCAGTGAATCTGAAATATATGAACGTTTCATTTTTATCATTACATTATGGAAAATAATGACCTTTATCACAATATGCTAATTTTTTGAGAAGGACCTGTACGTGAGCAGAGTGAACAGGAGAGGGCTCAACACACATCCCTGAGGAGAGCCAGTGCTGAGGGTTATGGTGGAGGAGGAGACGTTGTGGATTCTCACTAACTGTGGTCTGTTTTTTAAGAAGTCCAGGAACCAGTTGCAAATGGAGGGTCTTAGTCCTAGTGTGAGTAGTTTGTCCATCAGGGTTTGGGGGATCATGGTGTTGAAGGCAGATGTGAAGTCCACAAAGAGCATACGGACGTAGGAGTCCTTCTGCTCCAGGTGGTTGAGCGCAGTGTGGACCACAGAGGAGATGGCATCCTCTGTTGATCGGTTCTCACAGTATGCATACTGATGAGGGTCCTCGTTGATGTTGATGGTTGTTTTGATGTGAGTCATGACCAGTTTTTCGAAGCATTTAGTGACTATCGGGGTGAGGGCCACTGGCCGATAGTCATTCAGACCAGTCACTGTAGAGCTTTTTGGAACTGGGATGATGGTGGCAATCTTCAGGCAGGTGGGAACTGTCTCCAGGGTAAGTGAGGTGTTAAAGATGTCTGCCAGCACCTCGCAGAGCTGATCGGCACATTCTTTCAACACTTTTCCTGGGATGTTGTCTGGGCCGGTTGCTTTGTGAGGATTAATCCTCTTGACATATCCTGATGCATGCTCAAAAATCCAGGTAGAAAAATCCAAAAAAGTTAAATCTGGTCCTCTGGACATTCAAAAAAACAAAGCAAAACAACAAAAAATGTAGAAATGTTTCGTCTCTCATCCGAAAGACTTCCTCAGTCTGAGGTGCTGTATTCAGTTCAGTCTCTTAAATAGCACCTTCTCAGAGTGGATCAACCAGTTTTGCTGCTGACAACCAAAACCAGCTGATCACATGATCAAGAAGGACCATCAGCCCAACAATGGATCATTAGCACACTGATGGCTGTTTACTATTCACAGAGGGCTGAGTGATACTAGCAGTCACAGCATTGTAAGAGGGGGACAGTTGAACCCGGAGGCCTCCACCCCTGTTTAATGATGGACGGTTTCTTTTCACAAAGATGGCCTCCTTTACTCCTCTCTCAAACCATCGTTCCTCTCTGTCCAGGATGTGAACATCTTCATCCCTGAAAGAGTGACCGCTGGCCTGGAGATGAGTGTAGACCGCAGAGTCCTGGCCTGATTATGTTGATCTTCTGTGCTGGGCCATCCTTTTGGCCAGTGGCTGTTTAGTTTCCCCGATGTAAGACTGATCACCCTCCTGACACTGAACAGCATACACAATATTACTCTGTTTGTGCCGGGGGACTGGATCTTTGGGATGAACCGGTCTTTGCCTTAATGTATTTTGGGGTTTAAAAGCCACTGGGACGTTAAGTTTAGAAAATAAACGTCTCAGTTTCACTGATACTCCCTCAACATATGGAATGACCACTGGTCTGGGTCTGGGTTCCTCCTTTTCACCTGATGGCTGACTGGAGTCCTCTTTGGGTTTCTTCTCTGCTTTCAGGAAGGCCCAGTTAGGATTTCCACATTGCTCTAGAGCCTGTCTTGTGTGGGATTTCTCCTTCTGCCTGGCTCCTGAGCTAGTGGGGACGCTGTCTGCTCTGTGATACAGAGTCCTGATGACTCCTAACTTGTGCTCCAAAGGGTGATGGGAGTCAAACTGCAAATACTGGTCTGTGTGGGTGGGTTTGCGGTACACCTCAGTTTGCAAATGTCCTCTATCAGAGACTCACAGTCCAAGAAAGCCAACTTGCCATTTTTTACATTTTCTCTTTTAAACTCGATGTATTTATCCACTGAGTTGATGTGGTCAGTAAAATGTTGGACTTCCTGAGATTTGATTTTAACCCAGGTGTCATCAACATACCTGAACCAATGACTTGGTGGTGTCCCTGAAAAGGACGTCAAGGCTCTCTTTTCTACCTCCTCCATGTACAGGTTGGCAACAATAGGAGAAACTGGAGACCCCATAGCACACCCATATTTCTGCCTATAATATTGCTCCCCATATGTGAAGTAGGTTGACTGCAGGCACAGTTTCAAGAGTTGACACAGTTGTTCTGTGGAAAGCGTGGTCCTGCTGCTCAGAGTGGTGTCTGATTTTAATCTTAAACTGACCACCTCTACTGCATCATCAACAGGAATGCACGTAAAGAGTGATGTGACATCAAAAGAGACCATTGTTTCATCAGTCTCCATGATGACATCCCTCACCTTATCCACAAAGTCCATGGTGTTCTGTATGTGGTGTTCTGAGCTGCCAACTAAAGGGATGAGTACAGACGCCAGATATTTGGAAACATTGTAAGTGACAGAGTTAATCATGCTAACAATTGGTCTTAAAGGTACACCTTGTTTGTGGATTTTAGGTAAACCATACAGACTAGGTGTGGCCTCCCCTGGGTACAGTCTGTGTTACAGAAAACGGTCAATAGCCTTGTCCTGCTCCAAAATTTTCAGGCAATCTATTAATTTCTTCTTGTAACCACTTCCTGGATCTCTTTTCAGAGGTTCATAAGTGTTTAAGTCACTAAGGAGTGTCATAACTTTCTCATGATAGTCTTTCTGGTTCAAAATCACTGTGCACCTTCCTTTGTCTGCTGGGAGAATGATGATGTTTTTGTCCTTGCTAAGAGTGGTGAGTGCATCCCTCTCCTCTCTACTGATGTTGGAAGGTGGTGGTTTGGCATTGCTGAGGCAGGCTGAAACTTTGATTCTGAGCTGTTCTGCTTCAGCCTCTTTCATTTTGTTGTTGCGGATGGCTGACTCAGTAGCTGTGATCATCTCCACCAGAGGAATTCTACTTGGTGCAACTGCAAAGTTCAGTCCCCTGGCAAGAATCTCTGTCTCCGGCTGGGTGAGCTGTCTGTCAGATAAATTCTTCACCCACTTTTCTGTCTCCCTGGCATGTAATTGACTACTGGAGTGTTGTCCTACACTGAATGTGTTGTTATTGGAATAGTGATGGTGTTGATGAGTTATTAGTAAGTTAAACTTATTTTGTTGTCGAGTCTTGGACTTGACATGCTGTGCTAAGCGTGCCTGATCTGTACAGTCCAACACTTGCTGAAGTGTGGTCTGATCTAGACACATAGTTAGTTTCTGTTTAATGTGCTCTTCTTTGGCCTTCAAGGCCTCAATAGTAAAATTGGTCTGTCTCACCCGTTCATTCAGCAGCTGGGTCTGTGCCTTCTGAAGGATCTTGCTTGCCCGGTGCCCGCTGACCGAAGATTTTAGTTCCAGGCTCTTGGGAATGATGCCACTTTGTCGACATCTGAGGTTGAATCGCAAATTCTTCCTTGCTGTTTTCTCAAACTCTCTAACTAGTTTGAGGCAATCCTGGCCAAAGTGATTCAAAATATCCTGATGCTGCTCAATAATCCAGGTAGAAAAATCTAAAAAAGTTAAATCTGGTCCTCTGGACATTCAAAAACAAACAAAAAAAACAAATCAACAAAAAAATGTAGAAACGTTTCGTCTCTCATCCGAGAGACTTCCTCAGTCTGAGGTGCTGTATTCAGCTCAGTCTCTTAAATAGCACCTTCTCAGAGTGGATCAACCAGTTTTGCTGCTGACAACCAAAACCAGCTGATCACATGCTCAAGAAGGACCATCAGCTCAACAATGGATCATTAGCACCTGATGGCTGTTTATACTGTTCGTACAGTAAACATGCAAATGTGAGCTGGTATGACAATAAAAATTCCTTGTATTCTTTTAGTAAGGTGATAAACACTTTACTGTGTTCTTATGCATGCTCAATAATCCAGGTAGAAAAATCCACAAAAGTTCAATCTGGTCCTCTGGACATTCAAGCAGCAAAACTGGTTGATCCACTCTGAGAAGGTGCTATTTAAGAGACTGAGCTGAATACAGCACCTCAGACTGAGGAAGTCCCTCAGATGGAAGATGAAACGTTTCTACATTTTTTTGCTTTGTTTTGTTTTTATTTTTTGAATGTCCAGAGGACCAGATTGAACTTTTTTGGATTTTTCTGTGTTTTTTTACTAAGATTGTGTATACACTTCTTAATGATCATGTGCACAACTGAGACGTAAGTGGACCTCAGGGTCACCTCACAGGTTTTAATGGTGGTTTGATTGTGAGAAGAAACTCAAGTTTCCAACAATCTGAGAATTCAAACTATCTGAAGCACAAAGAGAACCTCTGTGTTCTCATGCATCTGGAGAATATTTTCAGATCACCAGGATTTTTATGTTTTAAACATGTCTGTCTCACATGTCTGTCTCACTTGTCTGTCTCACAGGGGGACTGAGGACTCTGGAGGTCTAAGGAGGATGTTGTCCCAGTCTACAGAGTCTCTGAACTTTAGGAACAGAACTTTATCCATGGAGTCCCTCACAGATGATGGTCTGTCAATCACTTTATTGATTCAGTATTGATGATCAGCTCCTGGATTTGTTTGTAGTCAGAGCATGTGTGAAACTACAACCTGGAGGTGTTTTGGTTCAATTCTTCTCAGACGACTTCTGTTGGTGTTCAGATAACCTGCTGTAGCTCCTCCATTCACGATCACGATTCAAAGATGATTAGATTTCATTAATGATAGAAAAATGTTGCTAATTCATTGATGTGTCAAAGATTTATGTAATGTTTCATCAGTAGCTGTAGCTCCGTTGTCAGCAGTTGTTACTCTGTTAGTTCTGATTGTTGCCGTGAGCTCTGTGAGCAGCAGAGGGCGCTGTTTGACCGTTGATGCTGCTGCAGGTGACTGGTGGTGGAACCCCCTCCTGGAGGAGCTGCAGAACGAGGGCAGCTGTGTTCATTCGGACAGCTGGAGTCTCGCTGTGGATGCCCACTTCTTACAGACGCTCCACAAAGACGTCATCAAGCAGCAGGACGTTATCTACGGTAGGCACAAAACACACCAGTCTCTGTTTACAAGTTAAAAACTATGCGACTTGATACAGGTGTGACGTTCTGACCATAATTGTATTTTTCATTTGTTTTACCTATATTTAACCAGAAGAAACCCACTGAGGTTAAAACTTCAATGGACCCCCTTCCATGCATGAATTATGAGAACTTCATCCAGGATTTTTTTCTAAAGTGTTTTTTTTCCTTAGGGCATAAAAAATGGTGTTATTTTTTTCTATAAAAGTTTTATTTATTCAAGAACTTTTCAACATGTCCACTCAGCTGGACAGCATACGTTTAGAGATTTTTTACTAACATAATACGGTATGCTGTAATGTGAACACATTTAGTAGTGGTGTAATGGTACATGTGGGTGTATTGAACCGTTTTGGTTATTTTTTCAGTCATTAATTTTTATTAACGAGAAATTATGCACCGCAACTAAAGTTCCTCAGCGTGTTTCAGCACGGCGCGATTATCTTGCAGCACGCGTAGCATTAGCAGCCTAGCATGTCGTTGTGGTCTCCTGTTTAGGAACATTATGTGTTTCTTGTTAAAAGACAAGTGGACAAATTCAAAGCTGTGTGTCAACGTTTCACGGAGATTGGATCTGCAGCAGCAACATGTCGAACTTGTTAACGCACTTGAAACAACATCATCGGAACGTGAACGTAGTTTGGTTCAAAGAGCGATAACATTTAAACAACCGTTATCAGGTCATTCAGGTCGGTCCAGAGCAACAACAAGCTGTAGGAGGTTTTAAAGCTCTGGATCTACGTCTGAATGTTGTTGATGCGCCGGTTTTAAAGTTCTTGAGCCCCACTACGACATCACGTCAACACTTCAGCCAAAACGTTGTAGCAGCACTTTATGAAAAAGATCAAACTGATCGTCAACAAGCTCTGGACCAGATTTAAAGCTCTGCCCTGATGATGATGACCGAGAGATTCAACCACCTCTAAACAGAAATTATGACCATGCAAGAAGAGGTATTGTATTACTGTGATGTAATTAACTTTTTTTATTTTAAAATTATCATCTTATTAACTCAATTTTTTAATCTCCGTGTTGTTTGCAGTCTGAGGATGACAGCAGCTGAGTCTTCTCCATCCACCAGATCACCTCCACATAAGAAGTCTGTAATGGCTGAACTTGTTTACTTGGCATATTTTCTAAATAAACATTTTGTAAATCTTTATTTTGGCCTTTTTTTGTACCGAAAATTAACCGAACCGAGCCCTCCTTGAAACTGAACCGAAATGTGATTTTAGCGTACTGTTACACCCCTAATATTTAGAAATATTTTGACACTGCTTCAATGAATGCAGAAACACAGAATTTCATGCCATCCTTCTCTCATTCTAATATTCACTCCCTCACATTCAGTTCCTTGATCTTTTTTTAGTCTTATCTTAGTTTCTCCTTTTTATCACCCTCATTGCAGCTGTGGTGGTATGCTTTTTTTCTGTAGTGTGATTAATGAGTGCTTAAAATAGTGTTAGAGCATAAAAACTCCTTTACGTTTACTCACAATGCCTTCAGTAATCTTTGCCAGCACTGAAATGTTACATATATGATGCGACACAGGCGCAACATTCTGGCCAATATGTGATAACAGATGTGACATTCCTTTCATTTGATTTCCTTTATACAAGTTAGTCAAACAACTCTTTCATTTGCCAGGGAGACCTGTTTCTGTTAACTTATTTTATATATAAATGTTTCTGTTAACTTATT